GAGAGAGTATAAACCTCCGAAGCAAGCTTTTCTTATTAATTCCTTCTAAAAATAGGGTGCTTTGCGGCAGCCCTTCACTCTACACAACGTCAGAAACCTCTCGAAACGCATAAAAATACTCTTAGAAACGCTCAGAAACTCCGGAAATGCTTTGGAGGGGTTCTAGAGAGAGAATTTGAAGTAATTTCTAGAGAGAAGGAGGAAGAACTTGTTGGAAATGAGGGGAATAGGGGCCCTATTTATAAGGATTCGCACCTGTCAGGTCGAGATGGGCCGTCTCGTCTGACAAGGTCGAGACGACCGTCTCGCCGGTCGAGACGGCGGTCTCGCCTTGCAGGAACGTCGAGATGGCGATCTCGACAAACGACACGGCGTTCTCGCCATTCGTGAGTGGCGAGACGGCCGTATCTCCAAACGAGACGGTGGTCTCGCCATCCGCGCAAGGCGAGACGGCGGTCTCGAAAACGAGATGGCGGTCTTGACCTTAAGAGGCGAAAATCCTTATTTTTGAGCCAAAAATCCCTCCTATCCTAGTATGGGGCCTAATAGTGTCTCCTAATGGCTTTTTAGGCTTCGTCCATCTTCGAAAAGGAGGTCTTCTGGTCTTTATTGTGAGACCGGACAAGATTTGGGGTCTACAATCTCTAATGATGAGTTCGGAACTGCACAGAAACGCCCTGATGAAGGTTTTGAGCGAAGCGCATGTACCTCATAATATATCCCAAGAGAAAGTTGGGAGGATCATCAGTCACATTACGACAGGCGATCACCTCACCTTCATAGACGAAGAACTCCCCGTAGAGGGGTCAAGCCACAACAAGCCCTTGCACATTTCTATCAAGTGCAAGGAGTATCTCATCACTAAAGTTCTTGTGGATAACGGGTCATCCTTGAACGTGATGCCCAAGTGCACACTTGACAAACTGACTATTCAAGGAACCCGCTTGCGCCCAAGCACCACTATCGTTCGAGACTTCGACGGATCCAAGCGAGAAGTAGTGGGGGAAATCAATCTGTTAATTCAAGCCGGACCCACTATCTTCAACATTCATTTTCACATAATGGACATTACTCTGGCATACAGTTGTCTCCTCGGCAGACCTTGGATTCATGACGCTAAGGCAGTGCCTTCAACACTCCACCAAAAAGTCAAATTTATAGTAGATGACAAACTGGTCACGGTACAAACAGAAGACGATATCCTGATTAGTGGACCATTTACCCAACCTTATGTGGATGCGGCTGTAGAGGCCCTTGAAACATGTTTTCAAGCGCTTGAAATTGCCAGTGTAGAGAGACTTCCCAATAATACAAAGGTAGCCCGCATGATGATGAAGCATGGTTACCATCCTGGCCAAGGACTAGGGGCAGACTCCCAAGGGATGAAGGAACCCCCAGAATTCAAAGATAACCCTTTAAAGCATGGCCTAGGATATGACCCTACGAAGGGTCGAGCAGAAAGAAGAAAAGGGAAGTCCCCCCTCTGCACACTCAAGCAGATGTTCCAAAGCGGAGGGATGCAAGCGTCACGAACAACCCTAGTCATTAGGAACTCTTTTTCTTTTCTTAAGGGATGTAAACCCAGTATTTGTTAGAGATTATCCCCCGGGGCTAGCCCGACCCTCGGGCATCTTTTGGGCACATATTCCCTTACTAATTAATAAATAATACATTTCTTACTATCTGCTTCTCTTCTTGCTACTTCATGTCTAGACCTCATAATAACCATGTTTAAGCAAAAAAAAAAAAGAGAAGAATAAAAATGTGTCCAAATAATCAAAATGTACTATTGCCATAATAATCAAGTTGATTAATTAGGAGCAAAAAATAAGGTTTTACCTCATCATAAATAAAGTTGTGCTCCGCCGATATTGTGTAAAAACAAAAAAGAAAAAGAAAAAAGTCCATAGAAGCCAAAGGCCAAAAAAAAGGGGCAAAATACCCGGTAGGAAACCCACTAAGGGGGCTATGCAAAAGTTAGGGTCAACCTGTTAGGACACCCGAACAAAAATAAAGGGTAGCCTAGGAAAAAGTTAGGGTTACAAAATAAGGTCCGATAGGATTCCCAAAACAAGAAAAAGGGAACCTAGACAAAAGATAGGACCAAAACACAATATCCTAGTCCGAAAACCTGAAGGGCGGTCTGGGGAAATCAATTGGCCATAAAAGCAATGGAAATAGGCTAAGGTAAAAATTCACAAAGAAAAACGTTTGTTTAAACAACAGCTCAAACACTTGAACCAACCCTAGCCATTCATTCTTCCAAAATCTCTTCTAAATAAAAATTAACTGCCTAAAACACAAGCCAGTGAATTTACCCCCTTTACTTCTTTTCTCTTGACCCTCACTACATTATTCTTACAATTAGTTTGGGAATATGGAGGTTGTAATCAACAAGATGATTGAAATCCCTAAAGCGAGGAAAAAGGGCACCGACGTGGCAAAGTGTGCTCTCCAAACCAAAAGGTCATTCTTCGGTCACGTTAAGTCCGGAACAATGCAAACAAAGTACAGCAAAGAAGCAAACATCAGAGGACCCCCGTCTCTGTAAGACACACTAGTTAATCCTTCTGAAAAAACTAATGAAATAGCATTATAGGGCATCAAACATGAAAACATTGCATGCATAAAATATTTTTGAACACGGTCCTATTTCTTTAAAAAAACAAAAAACAAAAATCCCTCTCAAAAGCGAGACCGCCATCTAGACTCTTGAGACCACCGTCTCGACCCGCGTTGAATCGAGACTACCTTCCCGAATTTCGAGACCGCCGTCTCGCTTTGGGACAGAAATGAGACCGCCTTCTCGCTTGGTGAGAAGGTCATCTCGCCATAAAATAAAAGCAAGACCGCCGTCTCAAAGTTCCAGACGACGGTCCCGAGTCTCGTTAAATCGAGACCTCCGTCCTGAAATCCCAGATGGCGGTCTCGACCTGCAGCGAAAATTCTATAAATAGGAGGGCATGGGGGGTGGTTTGGAGCATCCTTTTCTTGCCTTCTCTGCACCTTTCTCTATATTTTTGAGCTTTCTTACCAAAGATGCATAGAGGAGAGTCTTCCAGGAAGAGAGGTTGGGGTTTCGGACCAAGCACATCTGCGGCCTCGATTCCTCCGAACCCGACCCAGCTGACACCCCAGCACTAGGCTATGCTCGAGCACATCCGGGGTTATGCCTGACACCCCATGCTGAGGTTAGACTTTCACCTCCTCGCCAAATTTGGATGGGAGGACAACATGCGAGGGTACATTGAGAGTATCGGGTGGGGCTTCCTCCTCTAGCCTCCACCCACCCGCATGTATACACAAGTCGTAATGGAGTTTCTCGCCTCCATTACGTTGTTTGAGCTCCCCACGATGATCTCGGGCATCCCTCTGGTCAAAATGGTCTCATTCTTCATGAACGGGTCCTACCGGATGACGATGTTGGACGAATTCAATGTCTCCATTGGCTTCGTCCTGCCCGAGGATGTCCTGACCCCGGAGCATCACGGGGCCATCTATGAGCGGCCATCTACCGTCACAACTAGTGAGATGTGGGAAGATCTCACCGCGGCACGAGTTCTGCCGACCCTACTGAAGGGGTTCACGCTTATCCCCGCCCTCTGCATTTGCCACAAGCTATTGGCGGGAACCATCCACGGGCGAAAGGAGAGTCAGGGAAAGGTCACCCACCCTGACCTCTTCGCCCTGCACTGCATGCTCCATGGGCGCCGGTGCAATCCCGACTACTTTTTCGTGAAGGCCCTCAAAGATTTCGGGTGTTGTCCTGTGGGAGCCAACCTCATGGGTCCCCTCATCACCCCACTAGCCAAGAAGTGGGGGTGCCGCGGCGGAGAGAACATCCCCTCCGATCTCCAACCCGAATACATCAGCGGGTCCATGCTTGTCAGCATGGGGATGCTCATCCGACAGGGGACCTAGATGACCCTTCACCCTATGCTCGCCATGACCCTAGACCTCCAAGATTTGGTGGCGATGCAAGACATTCTGACGCCCCCAGAATTCTAGCAACAGCAACAACAACAACAGTGGTAGCAGCAATAGCAATACGGGGACGACTTCGCTGGCATCAACCGCAATATCTACGACATGCGCCAGTAGTTGGACCAGATGTCGCTAAGATAAGATGTCATCGAGACACGGTTGGAGACCTTCGGTCAAATGCAGGAGGGGATGAGACAAGACCTGACACTGATCCGACAAGACTTGCTCAGCTCAATCCGGAGCCAGGAACAATTTCAAAGGCATATGTATTGGCAGTTTCCCCCTCCCGGATCGTCTCCCGGCTCGAGCCCACCGCCGTCTTAAGGACATTATCGAAATAATTATTGTACTAAATTTTATCATAATATGAATAAATTTTTAGTAAATCTATTTGTCTTTACTCTCTCTTTCCGAAAAAGTTAGCGTTACAAAAAAAGACTAAAAAATAAAAAGACTTACGCTTAGTCCCAAAAAATCCAAAATCCAAAGTTCCGAGAAAAAAGATAAACCGCGAAAAAAGGCAGGATTAAATCAGAAACGTTAGCCAAGGCAGACTGGCACGACGACCATAAAATCCCCAGCAATCAACGAGTTGGACGACCATAAAAAAAGTGAAAAATTAAAAGACCTCCGGCACACCGGAATACTCTACCAGAAGAAAACATTCAAAGCAAGAGAGCATTTCTCACATCACTCGAAATCAGGAAGCCGCCACCACAGTCGAAGGGTTAGCTACCGCATCAAAGGAACATCCTGAGGCACCTAACTTGATGAGGGTTCGTACTCATCAACCAAGGGGTCAGTTACCGCATCAAAGGAGCATCCTAAGGTTTCTCACTTGGTGCATAGGCTAGAACAGTAAGCCGCCACCGCATCCAAGGATCAGCCCTATTGCAAAAGGGTATCCAAAAGATACAACTTACCACCACCTAAGGGGTCAGCTATCGCATCAAAGGAGCATCCCAAAGGAAAATCTTCATTAGCCGAAGGGTCAGCTACCGCATCAAAGGAGCATCCTAAAGCCTCACCAAAATATCGTCCAACGGGTCAGCCTCCGTAGCAAGGAAGCATCTTGACGATAGTACCAGACTACATTCATCATCACGAGGGTCAGCTACCGCATCGAAGGAGCATCCAAAGGATAGCCGGACAAGAGGGTTAACTCCTTTACCCGCCAATCGACCTTATGGCACGAAAGCCCATAGTCGATTGATTGAGTAAAGGGGGGGGGGGCAGCTATAGACCCCAAATCTTGTCCGGCCGCAAAATAAAGAGCAGAAGACCTCCAAATTCGAAGATGGGCAAGTTCTAAAAGTCCTTAGGATAGACTATTAGGCCCCATATTAGAGTATGAAGGCTTTTTGTATAGAAAAAATAAGGAATTCCACCTGAAGGGTCCAGATCACCGTCTCGCTTCTCGAGACTGCCGTCTCACCATCAGCAAGGGCGAGACCACCGTCTCGTTTGGCGAGACAGCTGTCTCGCCACTTGCTATGGCAAGACTGCCTTCCCGTTTGCCGAGATGGCCTTCTCGCCATTTGTCAAATCGATACCGCCGTCTTGAGTGGCGAGACGGTCATCTCGCTATTTGCCAAAGGTGAGATTGCCATCCCGATTGGCGAGACGGCGGTCTCAACCTAACAGGCACGAATCCCTATAAAAGGGGGGCACTCTCCCCTTCATTTCACACAGTTCTTCAACCTTTCCTTCTAGCATTTCTTAAAATTCTTCTCCTAGAGCCCCTCCGAAGCATTTCTGGAGTTTTCTGAGTGTTCTTAGAGAGCTTTTTATAGCGTTGCGAGAGAGAAAGACTGACGTTGAAGAGCGAAGGACTACCAAAAAGTGTCCTATTTTAAGAGAATTAATCAAGAAAGCTTGCTCTGGAGGTTTCTTTACTTTCTCCGTCTCTTTTACTGCCTTTTTATTTATAATTATTTGTACATTAGCTACTAGGGCCATGTAGTCATTATTTCCTTAATTCCGCAAATAAAAGGGTAAAAGCGTCATTTTAAAGTTTATTTATGAAATAACCGGCCTATCATAGGGAACCCGAAAGGGGCATTGTGGGGGTGCTAATACCTTCCCCACACATAACTAACTCCCTTACCCAACTCTGGTCATAATGGCCAAAGTTGATTTTCTTAAAAACCAACGCCTTCTTTTTTTTCTTTTTCGATATTTTCGGTAAAAACATCGGTGGCGACTCCATAAGATCCCCTCTTCGAAAACCTTACTTTTAGGTCTAGCCCGATTATCAGGCAACCTAAAAGCTCCCTTTCGAAAACCTTGCTCTTAGGTCCAGCCCGGTTATCGGACAACCTAGAGGCATTGTAACTTCACCCCTCTAAAATGTGAAAATGGAAGTCGGAATCATCACGTCTCTCTGAACACCTCTTTTGATGGCAGCGACATCCACCAGGGAATTAGCTGACTTCCTGGGGATCCGATTTTGATGTTGATATGAGCTGACCTTGTGAAGCTCTTATTCCACTGGGGGGTGGGAATTTCTGTAGATTTTTCTGGTATGATCCACTAGGGGATTTTATTCGGCCTTCTTTGTCATGACCTTTTTTGTCATCTACTAGGGATGAAGGGTTTTCTTTTCTCTTCTTCTTTTTGTTGAACCCTTGATGGTATGGAGATTGGAATCTTTTGATTGTTGATGATGATGGGCTTTTGAAGCCTTTATTCTCCATTGGGGAGTGTGCAGGAGACCTTGGGTGAGTGTGCTCGATGACTCAAGTGGGGGTGATGCTGAGCCGTGTGGAATTATTTTTGTTTGCCTCTGGGGTAGGCAATGATCCGCTTGAGGATAATTGAGCCTTTCCATCGGCTTTTCTTTGACGTACCTGTTAGAATCGCACAGTGGAATGTTCACGTGGTCGAACAAAAACCAAGAGGGGGGTGAATTGGTTTCTTAACAAAAATTAGGTTTTCAAAATTTTCCCCAAATTTTACCGATTAAAAAGCTGTGTAAACGTAAATAAGATAGAGATAGAGTCTTACACAGGTGATTTATACTGGTTTGGATCAAAAGACCCTACGTCTAGTTGCTAATCACTCAAACAGAGGATTAACGCTGTCACTATAATCAAAGTTGTTACAAACAGATAACAATTGAAAATATAAAGTAAAGAAAACACCTCTCTTGAAATCCACAAGAGATGAAGAACATCTTTCCCCAGAGACGGCACAACACACAATCCACTAAGAACTCCACTTAGTGATTCTTATCGCTTCTAGCCCACACCAGGTTCCAAAAGCCCCTTTTTCCTCCAACAAACAGTTCTTTGGCACTCACAACACTTAACTTTTGTTTGGAAAAGGTTGTTCTATTTTTCTGAGTGCCATAGAGAAGCTTAAGTAGAGAAATTAGGGTTTGGGAATTGGGAATTTCGGAACTAGGAGTCTTGGGATTAGGGTTTTCGAAAATAGGGTTAATTTGAAGTTGAAAATCAAAATCTGACTGAAATAATCGATTAAATGAAGTGTTAATCGATTATTACAGAGCCATAATCAACAGAACCCCAAAACTCACTATTTTAATCGATTAAAAGCCCTGTTAATCGATTAACAGGCCTATTAATCGATTAGCAGGTGTGTTAGTCGATTATTACAGTGAACAGATACAGAAAATGGTTTTTCTCACTGTAATAATCGATTATTTGACCATTTAATCGATTAAAGCCGACGCAAAAAGATAAATTTGAGTTTTTGAAGCTTCTAAAGTGCAGACTATGTACCGGCTATCTTAAACTCTAATATTACAGACTCAAACTAATCAAAACAGAGTTATTACACTATAAAACAAGTCTTCAACTCTCTAAGTTCTTGTGTTCTTGAATCATCATCAAAATGAACAAGCTTCATGTCCATGTAAGTTCAACATCAAGTCCTTGAATGTTCAACAATCTCCCCCTTTTTGATGATGATCAAAATTTTCTTTTAAAGCCTTGTAATAACCTGTTTTATCTGTAATACTAACAAACACATTAAACATACCAGATAATATTTAAAATCAATCATAGTAGGATTTAAATATTGCTCCCCCTATTTTGATTATAATAAAAAAGAATTCTTCTATAACAATCATAAGAGCTCCCCCTCAAAATATGCATAACTTGGAGATAACCCCCCCTCAATCAAAGCAATAAAAGAACACCACATTTTATTTCAGAAATGAAAATACATTACAAATAAAAGGCAAATTTAAAATTCTTCACTATCATCACTATGAAAGTGTGCATCAAATCTATTTTCTAAATGGCACACTTTATCATCTACATCAGATATACGACGAATTATTTCCTCATGTCGTACTCCAGAAAGAGTGAAGAATGCCTGCATCCTCTGATTCATATCAGATAATATGTCTTCCATGGATTGTCGAGTTTCATGATGAGCAGAGGAAGTTCCAACACTTTGGATTTGATCAGAGGGAAGCTCAGCAGCAGGAGGCATATCTTCATCAGAATCTTCATTTTCACCACGAGAAGATGAGGCCATTGAAGGATTATAAGAGTAACAAGAAGATTTAAGAGGACAAGTTAAGTGAGAAGAAGGCAAGATTGATAGAATGAGGCAAGAAAGCTTGATTTCAAGAGATAGAAGTGAGTATAAGTGAAATGGAGGTCCCTATTTATAGCCAAGCATCTCCAACGGCCATATGAAAGTCAATAAGGGTCAAAAGAGCCGTTGGCAATGGCTAGGAAACCAAACTTGCTAGGTTTAATCGATTAAAACTCAAATTAATCGATTAAACCACTACCAGACCCATTTAATCGATTAATTTGAGCTGCTAATCGATTAATACTGATTTTAATCGATTAATGGGCGAATTAATCGATTAATCCAAAGAGGAATGTCATGTTTTGGGTGTTTTGGATGCAAATAATCGATTATAACTCCAATTAATCGATTATTCCAGAGAGTACAGCAAATTTTTGAGGTTTATACACATGATAATCTATTAACATCCTGTATAATGAATTATATCCTTACAATCATCCAAAAACTGTCTAATTAAGCAGAATTTTAAGCTATTTCTAATATCCCTAAGTCTCTTCTAAGATCATAGAATATATCATTGGGTAGAGGCTTAGTAAAAATGTCTGCTAATTGATGTTTTATATCAACGTACTCTATTTTACAGTTTCCTTTGCTGATATGATCTCTTAAAAAGTGATGTCTAATCTCTATATGCTTAGTCCTAGAGTGCAATACTGGATTCTTAGTAAGATTGATTGCACTCGTATTATCACACATCAAAGGTATGTCATTCAGAAATATACTATAATCTTCTAGCTGTTGTTTCATCCATAGAATTTGAGCACAACAATTACCAGCTGCAATATATTCAGCTTCAGTGGTAGATAAAGCAACACATGCCTGTTTCTTAGAATGCCAAGATACTAAGGATGAACCTAACAAATGACATGTCCCACTTGTACTCTTTCTATCAATTTTGCATCCACCATAATCAGCATTAGAATATTCTATTAAACTAGTACAAGCATCAGATGGATACCATAAACCAAAACCAGTAGTTCCTTTTAAATATTTTAAAATATGTTTTACTGCAATTAGGTGAGATTCTTTTGGACAAGCCAGAAATCTAGCACACACACAGACAAAATGCATAATATCAGGTCTACTTGCAGTTAAGTATAATAGTGAACCTATCATACCTCTATACATAGATTGATTAATTTCCAAACCTGATTCATCCTTGTGCAGATAGCATGAAGTTACCATGGGTGTGTTAGCTTCTTTTGAGGTGTCCATTCCAAACTTTTTAAGTATCTCTTTGCAGTATTTGGTTTAAGAGATGAAAATGCCATCTTTAAGTTTCTTGATTTGTAGTCCAAGGAAGAATGTCAATTCTCCCATCATAGACATTTCAAACTCTCCCTGCATTATCTTAGCAAATTCTATACATAACAAATTATCAGTTGATCCAAAAATAATATCATCAACATATACCTGGACCAATAAGATATGCTCTTTTACTTTCTTTATAAACAGAGTAGAATTAATTTTTCCTCTAGTAAAATCATTTGAAGTTAGGAAACTACTTAGCCTCTCATACCAAGATATAGGAGCTTGTTTCAACCCATATAAAGCTTTCTTTAATTTAAAAATATGATTAGGATAACTAAAATCTTCAAATCCAGGGGGTTGCTCCACATAAACTTCTTCTTTAATAAAACCATTCAAAAATGCACTCTTAACATCCATTTGATATAATTAAAATTTCATCAAAGATGCATAAGCAAGAAGTAGGCGTATAGCCTCTAACCTGGCAACAGGAGCATAAGTTTCATCATAATCTATACCTTCCTCCTGATAATAGCCTTTGGCAACAAGTCTGGCTTTATTGTTTGTTATGTTTCCATCTTCATCAAGTTTATTTATAAACACCCATTTAGTTCCAATTAGTTGATGTGACTCTTCTCTTGGGATTAATTCCCAGACTTGATTCCTTTCAAATTGGTTAAGTTCCTCTTGCATAGTTATGCACCATTGATCATCTTTAAGTGCTTCCTCAACATTTTTGGGTTCTATCTGTGACACAAAAGCTACAGACATGCAGAAATTAGTCATATTTCTAGTTCTTACCCCTTTTGAGATATCACCAATGATATTTTCCATTGAGAGTCCTCTTGGTGATTGCCATTCTTTTGCTAATTCAGGCGTTTGAGAAGGTTCATTTTCTTCCAAATACAATTCATCAAGAGCCTCTCTTATATACTCATCATCACCTGCAAGTTCTTTATTTGACTCAAGAGGATTTCCCCCAAGGTCTACAATTTCATCAAAAGTAACATGAATAGATTCTTCAATATTTAAGGTTCTTCTATTAAACACCCTGTAAGACTTGCTAGTTAATTAATAACCTAAGAAAATGCCCTCATCAGCTTTTGAGTCAAATTTTCCTAAGTTGTCCTTTCCATTATTTAACACAAAGCACTTACATCCAAAATTTTTTAAATGAGCAACATTAGGCTTTCTACCAATTAACAATTCATAGGGAGTTGATTTTATAATTGACCTAATGAGCATTCTATTTAAAACATAACCGCATCAGCCCAAAAATATTTAGGAACATTAGATTCATTTAACATTGTTCTAGAAAGTTCCTCTAATGACCTATTTTTCCTTTCAACTACACCATTTTGTTGGGGAGTCCTAGGAGCAGAAAAGTTATGTAATATTCCATTTTCTTCACAATAATTTTCAAACCTTTCATTTTGAAACTCACCACCATGGTCACTTTTAAAACTTTAATTCTTAAGTCTTTCTCATTTTGTATTTACTTTGCAAACTTTTAATGACCTTAAAAGCTTCACTTTTCATAGTTAGGAAAAATGTCCAAGTATATCTAGAGAAATCATCAACAATCACAAGGCCATAATAATTTCCACCAAAGCTTTTTATCCTAGAAGGTCCAAATAAATCTAAATGTAATAATTCTAGGGGTTTTGAAGTGGAAATAACATTCTTTGATTTAAATGATGATTTTACTTGTTTACCTTTTTGACATGCATCACACAATCTATCTTTTTCAAATTTTAACTTTAGCAAAACCCATAACTAAGTCTTTTGAAATTAATTTGTTCAAATGATGCATATTTATATGAGCCGCTCTCTTATGCCATAACCAAGGGTTCTCTTCCTTAGCAACTAAACATGTTAT